CCCAGTGCCCCATCCTCTCGGGGTTCCATTTTACCTATTGCATAGACTCTGCTGAGCTGGGGTCCCAGATAGTCCTGATGCTGCTCTTTGGGGGACCTGGAGGTGGAACCAGGTTCTTGGCTTCTGAGTCCTGACATTGTAAGGGGACTCTGAGATTTTGAAGTGTGCAGACTGCCTACTTTGAGGTGGTCAAAGGTTCAGCAGAGCTTCCTCTGGGGAGGAGTCCCCCCTCCCTCCACCAGCCGTGGTATCATCTCAAATGGTGCCGTAGATGAAAACATGGTCTTGACCTCCTAAGTTCCAACCTCAGGAAGAGGCTGGTCCTCACCATGGACTATTCCTTCCCACAGGAGGCCTGCTGAAGCCCTCAGTGGGGCTGGGTGGTACCCTGACCTCTTCTCACCCCTGGGTGAGTGGAGAGGTCTTGGAGATGCCAGTGCGTGCAACCTCAGATCACTGTGGGGGTCTGGGAGCGGGGTGTCGCTGGATGTCAGCTGGATATGTTAGAGCTAGCTGCCTTTTGAAGGCTGGGTGTGGAGTCTTTTGGGGGAGAAGGAGGCGGTGGGAGTCTTTCCATGGTGTCCTTAGCTCGCCCTGGTCCAGCCTGGATCCTGCAGCAGAGAGGTGGTGGGGAGGAGGGAATTGCAGGGAATGCTCAGGAGGAGGCTGGGTGGAGGATGCAGGTGAAGGGAACATGTACTGACAACCTCAGGCCGGGCTCAGCGAGCTCCCCGAAAGCTTTCTCTGTCGCTTCCAGAGGAGTTTGTGCGTTTTGCTCTCTGCAAACAAGTTTTCTCTCTGGCCCGAGGTCGCAAACCCACTTTCACAGCCCTGCTCTGGAAGAGAAAGAGCCCCTCCCCAGCTGTCACCAAGCAGGGTCCTCCAGGGCTAGTTCTTCTCTGGGGGAGATGAGGGCAAGGGCAGAGACCCCACAGGTTGGGTATGAGAGGCACACGGATGGAGGTTGCCGCAGATAATTGAGGAACATGTCAACTCAGAAAAGCAAGTTGGGCCAAAGGCTGAGTGGCAGCTCAGAGGAGGTGGGGGAGGGGTTCCTTTATCTGGGGTTCGTTGTTGTTGTTTTTTTAAGGTGTTTAAGGGTTGATTTTTGAACTTTTGGAATAAAGCCCAATGTCCGTACAAATTGGGTCGAGCCTAATCCATTTTGGACGAAGTCGAGGGCTAGCCGGATCAAGAAACAGAAGGTGGCTGACACTCTAGAGCCCCTGACGTCCCCTCCCAGTTGCTCCCTGCCACAAGGGTCACCACACGCTGCCCTTCCAAACCCACAGATCCGAGCTGTCTCGTTTTGAACTCCGTGCGCAGGGAGGCATACCGTATGTTCTTCAGCATCCCGGGGGCAGCCGGCAGGGCGGGCAGCCCGGGGCGCCGAGGATGTACAAGCAGTCCATGGCGCAGAGAGCGCGGACCATGGCCCTCTACAACCCCATCCCCGTCCGACAGAGCTGCCTCACGGTCAACCGGTCCCTGTTCCTCTTCAGCGAGGACAGCGTGGTGAGAAAATACGCCAAAAAGATCACCGAATGGCCATATCCTTTGCCCGAGCCCCGCGGCGCCTCCCCCTCCCCGCCGCCTCCCTCTTCCCCGCGGGGAGAGACCGGGGGCTGATGGGAGGTGGGGGGGTCTTCTTGGGACTGGCGAGAGGGGCGGGGGGCCTCCGGGAAGAGTGCGAGCTCTCCACCCCCGAGTTGGGGTGTTGGGGAGGCTCGGGGGGCGGGGGGGTGCCATCCAGCGGACCCTCGGCCAGAATGAGGGCCGGGCCTGGGGGTCGGATGGGGCTTTGGCGAGGGCTTCAGGGCCAGTTCAGGAGGGTCCGAGTTCTCCTGCGCGAACTGGACCTGGGCCGTGGCCTGGGCGCTGCTGGCCAGGGCAGGGGGGTGGCCAGGGGCTCTGGCCGCCTGCCTGAGCCGCCCCTCGCCCTGTTCTTCCAGCCCCAGAGCCCGGCCTCCCCAGCCTGCCTTCCCGAGGAGGGGGCCGGCGCTCTCGCGCAGGGAACTGGGGGGCCGGGAGAGGAGAGCCCCTGGGCACACACCTTCACATTGAGGGGCTAACATTGCCCTGACTTGTATTC